CTTCGAGACGTACAAAGACAACTTATCCCAATCGGAAGTTAGCCCTGAACTAATCCTTCTTCGAGACGTACAAAGACAACTTATCCCGATCGGAAGTTAGCCCTGAACTAATCCTTCTTCGAGACGTACAAAGACAACTTATCCCGATCGGAAGTTAGACCTGAACGAATCCTACTTCGAGACGTACAAAGACAACTTATCCCGATCGGAACTTAGCCCTGAACGAATCCTACTTCGAGACGCACAAAGACAACTTATCCCGATCGGAGGTTAGCCCTAAACAAATCCTACTTCGAGACGTACAAAGACAACTTATCCCGATCGGAGCTTAGCCCTGAACGAATCCTACCACTAGACGCACAAAGACAACTTATCCCGATCGGAGCTTAGCCCTGAACGAATCCTACTTCGAGACGTACAAAGACAACTTATCCCGATCGGAGGTTAGCCCTGAACGAATCCTACTTCAAGACGTACAAAGACAACTTATCCCGATCGAGATATCCTCAGATCGATGTGCACCTGTATCCCGATCAAGATATATTTATCCTGACCCGAGTAGAAATGCACTCGTATAGTTAACTTAAAGATACCAATAATCAATTATGCTTCCTTTAACTACCAAGTTAACTATGATTTCCCATGATGGACGTATATTGAGAGACACCAACGTAAATCCACAGAAACTGACATCACAGCTGTATACCAGATTCGGTCTGGTAAGATTTATCAAAACGTGAAAGTAAAAGTTATTCAGTTTGGCGTTAGTTTGCCACCAAACATGTTCTAATCACAGGGCCGGACGATCTATGTATGGCTGGTAGGATCCAGCAGAAAGAACTAGAATAATTGCGTACAGCTTTAAATAGTCGTTCATTTTGAGTCAAAATATTGTTTAGAAATAATATTATAGCAATGACGCTACAAGAATTGTTACCGGGTCGGTGTGTACAGTAGAATTACCTAAAGGGGGAAACAAAGCACACAACTAGCATTTTCTAAACGGCAATTTCGAATGCATTTAATCTTTTTTTTCACGTGGACATTATCATCTAATCCTATAGAAAAATGCCAAAAGTTTGAATCAATGTCTTATAATTCTTAGTAAAACGCCATCTTTTCGCCCCAAATCGCTATTAGCAGTTTTCTGCGACAACTTTCACGAGTTGACAGGCTGGACGCATAAACAGCCGGGATCACGAAAATGATTTGAAAAGTTATCGCGGAAAACTGCTCATGGCGATTTTTGGCGAAAAAGTGGGGTTTCACTGACCCGGCAGAAGTCCTAGTAGCATTTGGCATTTTTTTGCCAGATTCTACCAGCCACACTGGCGGATCCAGAAATTCGGTAAGGGGGCACTTCTATTGACGTGGGTTGGGTTTCTCAATTGTCAATTTGTCATTTTTTAGCGGACTAAAGGGGGCGCCTAACAGTCAGCAACTTAGACAGCAATACTACTGATATAGTTTCCGAAATTAGCGGGTGGTTGCAGTGGGAATGTAAGTGTAAATTTGCAATAGAAATAAATAATAATAACTGTATTGACATATTCA